GAGAATAAGGCGGACCTGGGTTGGAAAAATGAGCCTTCAAAGAAATGAGTCCAGATGAGAAGAGTCCTGTGAACAAAGTTGCTTACGGGAAAAAAGTCTGGTACCCGATTGCAATACCCTTGCTTATCGCAAGGGTAAAGAACTCTCATATTTAAAATTCATGCACTTGCAGCAAAATCGATACAAAATTAAGCGCCAAACAAGAATAACCAGTTGCTCTGCAAGTAGCACAGAAGATTCTGACCACACAAATAAAAAAATCTATGTTTTTTTTGCAAAAACGTGCTGTTTTGGTGCACGGCGTGATGAGAGGAGCAAGACGAAAACTTATAGCAAATAAGGCCTAATCGACTCCTGTTGTTTTTCAGAGGACTTTGTTTTGCCGAAAAAGCGCTGTCCTGGAGTAGAACTAAATTCACCGCTTAAGTAATAGTTTATTTTCCTATTCTAAGACTTATCCGCTCGTTTTACTCGCTCGAAATTAGACAAAGCTAAAAACCGGTTTTTTCAACACTAAGAAAGTTAATAGGAAATTTGAAAAATCGTTGGGATCATGACTGAAAGGGATTTAATATAATACTTTTTAACCCTTAGTCCTACTCAATGCAAAACTTACTGTGGGAAGTTGGGATGGAATATTTTTCGCCTGGTTTTGCATAGGGTAAAAACCAAAAAAAAACACCCGAACACTTTCAGTATTCCGACGATTTAGATAACAATTGGATAATCACTGCAAACATCAAGATCAAGATTTGGAGTGCTTTGCTACAAAATCATTTCGTTGGCTGAAAATATGTGAGGGCGAAGTCATCGCCGAAATTGTGGTAGCATCATGCTTCACTTGAAACCCTAGGAAATAGGAGGTAGTCGAATTTGGGTGGCAAAACTGGAGTGTTTGTAAAGATGAAATTGGGGCGATATCATTTTTTAAGAGTAATGAGCGTAGTGAAGACTTAAAAATAGGTCTTGATGATTTTTTTGTCTTTTTTTTCAGAAAAAGTCTTAAAATGCTCTAATAACTACAGATGTGCATTCCTACATATTAATGCATTTATAAATGCAATGAGGTATATATACACTTTTTGAGTCGTAAGTTGATAAAATTTAGCCGAAAAAAGATAAAACGATTACTAAAGTCAATTCGATTTTAGGCTATTCAAAACCTGTGAAAATTATAAAACATTACACATCGCCCATCACCTCCAGCAAATTCTGTACAAATAGTTAAGACTGGGAGTCGATGTTAATTCATAGTAAAAATATTTCAAGAGCCCAAAACTCATGAGCTTAAATGACTTCTACAACAGGCACGTGACAATTACACCTGGTTGTTCTACTACCCAGGAAAATTTCAAACGAATATCTATTGTGCAGTGAACTAGAAAAAGAAGAGCGAACCAAAAAAGAATTTTTTCATTATCGGTTTTTTTTTTCATTTTGGTAATAGTGAGGGTGGCGAGTCACTCTGCAATACTTAATTGTCGGGACCCCCCACCCCCGCAACACAAATTGTTTTTTCATAGACCCCACCACCTAGAATATTGACCCCTCCAAATTTTGGGGGGTCTGAATGATCCCACTGGAATTTGTACACCATAAAATTATTACTCAGAGTCATTTTTAAAAAATGATCAATTTTGAGAGCACCAAATTGAAAAAACTGTCTTTTCAACTTTAAAAAATGTCGCTTGGATTCAACTACTAAAATTTTGTGCCAATTTAGATGTTCAAGAAAATGTTTGGCTCGATTTTGTCATAATATTTATCAGAATTGATCCAAATTTGTTGGATCCCCTTGATAACTTTGAACCCCTCCGCAACGAAAAACACAAAAATGTCCAACCCCCTGTCAATTATCGACCCCCCGCGAATAACTTACTGCCGATTAGGTTGATTTCAAACTTTAGAGAATTCTCATGAAAGTTTAATCAGTAATAAATAGTACTACAGGATAAAAATAGAAAAATTATCATATTAGATTGACATCCAATTATCTGAAAACTTACCAATAGCTTTGGGCAAAAAAGGGCACCTGCATTTAAAAAATACATATATCATGTACACTGCATACATTGGCGAAGTAACCAGTTAAGCATTTTCGATTTTCGCCATTTTGTTAGCTGAATTTTAGACGAAAAAAATTTAAAAAAATTTACTTAGTCTCAATTACAATACCATTGCTAATCACAGTGTTGATAAAACTTTAAGTTTTGAAGCATGTAGTTTGGAGTTTAGATTTTTTGGACTTGAGTAACATTTTTAGAAAGATCTGTGGCTACTGTTTGTTGCTGCTGCAAAAAGATCTTTGTTTGACTGTTCCGAAACTTTTGAGATTGATTGTTCCCCTTTTTCATAGTCTTGCTACAGATTTGTAAAGAAATTTTTGAAAAAGCGTTTACATGCAGTAGCTGTTTCAGGGGGGGGGGAGGGTATTCATCCCCATAGATAATCGAATATGTAACATTTTTGAGGAGCGCGCGCCGAAAAAAAAATCGTGCTTTTTTGTCACAGTTTTCCAAAAAAATACCTAAAATCGTCGTTGTTATCCTGTTTTTCCAAAAAGTTTTTTGCCATGCAAAATTTGGTTAACGATTTTTTGTAGTGATTAGAAGAGCTCGGAAAAAAGTGGTCCTCAAAGTTTTCGAATTCTCTTTTTTAATTCGTTTTTTTTTTTTCAAATTTGTTTTTTTTTTCCTGTAAACTGTTTTTTTCCTGTAAACAGCTTGTCTTACAAATTCTGCTGACGGGCTCAAAGGCTGACATACTCAAGTTCTTAAAATTTTTCCACGCTCAATTTTGATTTTTCGCGGTTTGACTTGCGATTTCTTTTTAAATTCAGTGCATTTCCATTGTTAAAATGAAGGCAAACTCCACTATCGAATAGAAAAAAGTAAAGTTCACAAAAAACGTGATCGATTTCTTGTTTCGAAAATGGAAATTAATTGTCAGATTTCCCAGTTAAATAAAAGTTGTACGTATTGATTCAGTTTTCCCAAACTGGGTTAATTTTAACAAAAAAGTGTCCATCATAAATTGTTCTAAACTTCATAGAGCTTTAGGGCCATCTTTTTTTTCTTCGAAATCTATCTATACTATATTTAAATGCGAGTGACAGCTATCTCCACTGCTTAAGCATAATAATTTAGCATGTTTAACGAAAGAATTTTTTTCATGTTTAAGCTATATCATATATTGCAATGCAAAAGAAAATTTTTCAATTAGTTTTCCTCAAGGTCACTAATTTTTCAGTATTTTTTTCGAGGCCAAATTAAGTCTGTCTGTCTGTCTGTCTGTATACCTGTTTTTTTTAAAAATTAATTTGACTCTGTCTGTCTACCCGTCTCCTAATTTTTAAACTTTCATCTATTATACATTTTAATGCGGGCTTCACTATCTCGCCATGTTTAAGTATTTTCAACGTGTTATTCTTGCATGTTTAACAAAAGAATTTTTTCACGTTAAGCTATATCGTATATTGCAATGATTAAGTTTTTTTTTCAATTTTCCAGTTTAAATTCAGTTTTTATTTCATCAAGTTGAAATTAGCAACCCAATACTGGGATGTTGTCAGAGTTTTCTCAGTTTTTGAAATTCTCACCCTGTAGTTAGTTGCTGTCAGCGGTTGCGAATCTTGCCTCTAAATCCCACTTCTCAAATCCATGTAGTTTTCGAATTATGAGGTTTTTCTTATGATTTTTTCAAAACAATTCTCAAAAACTTAGGTTTCAAAAAATTCCAAAACGTTGAAGATCTCAACCCTGTTGTTGGTTTTTGTGAGAGTATCCTTTTCTTAAAGATTTTTTTTTCAGAAAAATTAGATATACAAAAGTTTCTGAAAATTTGATATTCCCATCTCTGTTGTGAGGCTCTGTCAGGGTACTCTCAGGAGTTGCGAATTTTGCTTTCAAGTAGGACTGCTCAAAACCTTCCATTTTTCCAGATATGACGTTTTTCGTATTTTTTCAAAAAAATTTTCATGAAAATTAAATCCATTTTTTTTCAAATTTGAAATTCTTAACCTGTAGTTGGGGGCTGTCAGACTAGTCTCAGGGTTGAAAGTTTGGCCTCCAATTAGGAATATTTTTTATAAAACTTAACAAAATTTTATGGTTCATCAAAATTTGTATAAAAAACTTGAATAAAAAACTATGATCCCTGTTTTTGGGTGTTGTGAGAGTACACTCAAAGAATGCAGATCTTATTTCCAATATATGCGGTTTTTTTATGAGTACCGGAGCTGCGTTACACGCTTGTTCAAAATTTGAAGTTTCTTGGAAAAACAAGTCAGTTTTTTTTTTACTTTCCTTGCGTTCATTACTCTTTACCAACGGTTAGTTGGCTATGTTTTTCTATCGGCTTATTTTGCATTTTTTATTTTCTGGTACGCTTTTCAAGTAGTTTTTATTCAAAGTTCGGTTCTTTGTTTTTGATTCGAACAGTTTTTACTATAATTGAAAGTTCTTTTGTAGTCTTTAATTGATTGTTTTTTTTTTTTCGATTAAACGGGTTCGGAATATGTTTTATCGTTTTTTAAGTGATGTTGCATTGTTTCAAGGGCAAATTTTTAAAATATTTTTGCCTGTTTCGGGAGGGATGGCTCGTAAAAAGCTTGATTTAAAACATTTCATAGCTTCTTAATTCATATGACTGAGGGTTCGTTTTCGGCTTAACGAGGATTGGCCCAACTTTTTTCGCCTTAGTTGCCGTTCGGTCATTGATTCTCAAGGTTTGTTCAGGCTGCTGAACATAATTTGAGGCAAATGTATGAAATTTGTCAACTTTTTAAATATTATTAATAAAAAATAACTTTTTCATCGTAGTTTGTCAAAAAAAAAATTGACTTCCTTCTTTTTTTTTCGATTCAATATCCTGTAATGCAATGGTTTAATTGTTTAGCCAGTATTGCAACTCTCCGCTTCTCCTCTGTATTTACAATTCAATTAACATTCAAGAATTGTATTTTAAATCTTCTCAACGCTCACTCCATCCTTCTTTTTCAGACAGATGACGCAAATGAGAACGTTGTGTCTGAACTTCTCACTGACCAACCGACTCAACCTTCTAATTCAGCCGATGGTACTAATTTACATGAAGATAATACTAATTATAAAGATATCAGAAAAGATGCCAAACAAATATGGCAGAGGTCAACTGAAGGGTCAAGCTTGTTGGAGCGCGAGCGACTTGTGCAGTTCAATGATGAAGTGTCACGTGATTTGGCAGAGAAGGGAGGATGTGATCACGTGAAGGGTGTGACGACAGTGCACGTGAATAAATTCATGAAGGCGTTTCCCACAATTTTCATCCCTCTGCCAGTTGTCAATTTTAGGTAAGGTTTTATTGAAATCAGTGGGAAAAAAATAATTTTTTTTCCCATTTTTTGTTATATTATAGAATAAAAAAATCATTAACTTTATCATTAATGAAGTTCGTTTTCACCTTTGTTCCAAATTGTTCACATCATTTCAGCATCCTCGACTCTCTGACTACTTTAATAAATGTGCCTTCCTCTGGGCACCATCCCCTACCCTGGTACCCACCCACTTGTCCTCCACCCCGCCCTCAGGACTCAAGTGAACAATCAGAGAGGGAAGAGGAAGTTTTGGATTTCACAGCCATGTTGGGAAAGTGGTCCAAAACTTCTTCTAACTACGAAGCCGAAAGTCATCTCAAACATGTAAGGATCTCCAACTGAGTTTAAATGGGGCTCTGGTCAGGAGGAGTATGTAGCATTCAAGATCATGACAGCGAAGAGTCGTTGAGGAGCTTTGAAAGCATTTTTAATTTTTAGCAGTTTTAATTAACTTCACCAAAACATTAGATGTTCACTATGAAACTGTCTCTCGACAAGATGTATTTGTTATCTTAACATAAATGGGGCAGTAATATTAAACAAATGGTGATGCGAAAACAACAGCGGTATGTTGATGATGAGTATGACGAAAGTTTGACTCTTTTTTGCAGCACTTGATGGATTTGTTCACGGGAAATGGAGATGAGAAGGAGGAAGTCGACGTGATATCACTAGGAGAAGTGGGTCAGAGAATCGAAGCTGCCATAGAAAAGGTACTTGCTCATTTGCATATCAAATGAAGTGTTATGGGGCATAGGTAGTGACGGTGCCCAGCAATCATCGTGCGTGCAGTTTGCGAGGCGAGCTTTTATTAGACAGCCATAGCTTAGTTAGCCGTAAAAAATTAACCTCCAGGCTAAGGCACTAGCTGGTCAACTAGAAAAAGTCTAGTTATGGTCAGTTACTAGATCAAAAAAACGGTAATTTAAAACTCATCTTTGGTTAAGAGGTGTTGCAAATTACCGTTCATATGTAGAAATCAATTCAAATTCGTAGTTGAAATTATGAACTTCGTGGGTTTCTTAAAAAATCCAGAGCATGAAGCTTTTCGCAAACAAGTTTTATTTACTTACTCGAGGTTTTTAATGTGCCTTGAAAATGGCTGGACACATCTTTCATCCCACTGGCTTTCTGAGTTCTTGTTTTTCTTTTGCAGCAGTTGGAACCTGCCTGGGCTATTATGAACTATGCCTCTCTCTACTGGCGAGTGACGGGACACCCCCTCAATGCTCTTCAGTGTCTAAACTACGCTTATGCTACATCTCCCAAACAGTTCAGGTCAGGGTGCTAAACAAGGGTGTTTTGCCATAATGTGATTAGTGTGTTATTGAAGAGGAGGCGAGGGAGTTGGTGCTGCTAGGCTTGAATCTTGAGTCTAGTGATCTCATTTCAACAATAGTATTTATTGATTTCCAACGAAAGGTTCATTCGCTTTTCGATTGAAAGATATTTATCGGCGGCTCCTTTTCCTTCCCCTCCAACACCAGCGAAGTTACACTAGTAATTTCTCTGTTCTCAATGTCCGAGACTGAGACTGAAACATGAAACGTTTCAGAGACATCATCATGTCCAATGTAATGAACGTGCTATACCGTGCCGAAAGATCCGAAGATGTGTTACATTTGGCCGATTCGGTCGAGAGGAAGATTTCAACACAGACCTATCTCTCCCCCCGTGTGTTCTACTCATTAGCACTCGCCTTTGTAGCCGGGGGTCAATATAGAGAGGCGGAGCATTTAATGGTCGAAGGGGGATCTTTGGAGAGTGATCAAAAGCAGAGAGACCAGATGAAAACCTATGTGTTCTATATTGCGTGTCAACACTTGTAAGTTTGCTAGGTTCCAACAAGATTAAGACGCGAGTGGGTAAGACGCGCGGCCTGTAACTTAAAGGTTGGTGGTTCGACTCTCGCTTCGGTCACGGTTGGAAGTGTCCCAGCGTCATCCACCTCCTCAAGGTGGGACCGGCTGCGGCAAAATAGATAACATCTCACCCCGCACACGGAATAAAAGGTCCCAGGTTGAAAGGTGGGACGGGGTCAATAAAAAAATCGTAAAACTGTACCCAAACCCAGTGTAAATGTCCACCGATTGAAACGCGAACAAGTTGATTTCCGGGAAACGTTTCTTTAATGTTGTTCAAATTTCCCGGAAAAATTAGCATCTAATTTAGTACCGTAAGACTGAGGAAAGGGTTTTTTGGTCCGAGAGTCTTTGCTAAATTCGTCGCTCTAAAAAAGTTCCTAATATGGTTAAATATAATCTAATTGTTTGCTTGAATTTAGCTGATTTCTTTCAAATATATCTTTTCATCTCCAGACACGTTGCCGAACAGTGCCTTAGTAACAACGACAAATCTTCTCCTCAATGTCAGAATGCACATGCAGTAGTGCAGTCTACATTAGACGCGGACTGTGATTGTGCGCATCTTTTCCCGGAAATGGTTCCTTCTCAGAAATCAGCAGCTTCAATGTCTGTACAAAAAAGTGATGGCGGCGGAGACTTATTTGCAGCGCAAATCAGCAACAACAAATGCGCTTCAAACCTTCATTTTTCTAAAAATGGTCAGATAAAACGCTTTTGAATTTTTGACCCAAAAAAATATAAGAAACAAACTTCCAGTCGAAATAAAATTACACGTAGATTTTCTGGTGAAATAATTTAATTTTGATCTCCAACTTTGTTTTGATCTAAAATTTTTGTTTTGATCTAGAACAATTCATTGCATCCAAGACATTTTCAGCAACCTGCAAGCATTTATGATCTATTTTGAGTTAGTTCTGTTTTTAGGCAACTGGGCCGGAATCAGCCGGGGTGTTTGTGGCAGTCAGCTGCACAAACCTACTGTTCCGGATTTCGTCACTGGCGCCCAATTGTCGCCCGAAATCACATCCCGCAGAATAGACTACGCGAGTCCGGTGGAAACTAGAGCCATCTGCGAGCAAAGGGGAGACGTACACTCGTGTATGTATTTCCGAAAACACGAGCTGGGAACTCCGAGTTGTAATCACCCGAGAGCATGTGATCCGAAGGTGTTCAACGATGCATCACAGACTATTGTAAGTGCATCTCAATTTTGCAGTTTTTGTACATTCTGTGAATGTTCATTTAACCGCTCGCTTTTCAAGAATCTTCAAGTTTATATTTAATTTAAGAACAAGTTTATATATAATTGAAGAAAATTGTTATAAGGAACAAAATTGAGAAATTGAGTAACATAAACGTAACAAAAATCTGAAAAAAAAATGAAATAGAACAACAATTAACAACCAGCTTAAGTTTAAATTGTAAAAAAAAACTTGGTATAAAAACCTGTTAAGAGATTTTGGGTTCTAGATAGCAGACGGCTCCCTGGCGATTGAGATCTACGGCAAGGATCTCTATGACGTAGAGTTCATGGCAGTAGTGGACAGCAGAGAGACTGTGGAGATGATATTCTACATGGAGGAGGCTCTAGCTCAACCATTCGACCTCGTGGTACAAAAAAATTCTGTTTTTCTATTTTTTCGCTTTATTTTTTTTCTATTTTTTAACCGGCTTACCTTTGCCAGACAAAAGTTAATTCTAATGAGTAATCATTTTTCTTAGAATTTGTCCGCGACTTCAAAACGTTTCAAAAACGCTCAACATCGGCAAGTATGTCTCCCTGAAAATGGAGTTGCTCAAACTTAAAATATCGCAGACGGCAGGATTTCAACAAACGAGGGCAGATCACATCTGATTTCTAGCCAGACGCCTTAACCACTCGGCCACGACTGCCTCTGTTCATTGCAAAAATCATTTGATGTTCCCCTTAGGAAGTCAAAAATTAATTGGACAACTGAAAATCAAATTTGCCTCTAATTGGAATGTTAATAATCAATTATCAATTAAGTAGCACAACCCAAAATAAATTGCAACTAACTGTACAATCTCTTCCGGAAAAGTTGAATAGTCGGTCTTTTGATTGCCGGCTTATGTTTTTTTAGGCTTAATTGCCGCCTCTTAGATTTTTTTGTGCGGTCAGCAGTTTTTGTCGTAGATGCAAAGGCTTTTGATGTTCCTTGTAATTTTAAAAATAATAGCCCTGACTTAGTAAATATATATTTTTTTCCTCTTATTTTTCGCTTAAAAGCTTCATTCGGCTTTATTGGTTTCGGCTAACATGTTGTCGGCTTAACTGCATGATTGAATATTTAAAATCAGGTAGTTTTTTTATAGAGCGGCTCTGTGTGGCTCGTTAAAAATTTGAAGACCTATTAAAAGCTGTTTTTTGGCCATTTTTCTAAACAAAAAGTTACTTTTTTCTCAATTTTTTTTTCAGATTTCGTTATTTCCGTCTCAGTTTCTATTCGCTTGCTTGCAATGCTGTGCTCGGGTTGTATCGCATGTTTTGTGAAGCTACTCTTCGCATCTGTGTAAAAACTGGCATGCGGACTGATTCGGCCATGACGAATACATTGGCCTTGAATTTAAGCAGTGTAAAGCTCCTCGTCACCATAAAATTGATACCTATGCGAGGTGAGTGGGCAAAGAAAAAACGAGCCACAGGTTTTTTTTGCTAAAAAGTTTCCGAAAAATGCTTCGAAAGCGCCGCAAAAATTGTCGTCGAATTTTGTCACTCCTTTGTTTCGGCAGGGTTTGAAAATTTCGAAATGGTTGAATTAAAAAAAAGAAGACAAAAAAGTGTATATCATTCCCTCAATAAAAATTCTTTGTGCAAACCAGTCCTCCTCACCATGTCCCCATAAAACCTGAGATTGCTCCTCACCATATCCGCATAGTCCATAATAAGTGGGATGAAATGTTTTTTTTTTCATAAAATAATTTTTTTTTATTGCTAGATTCCTCTCTTACTCTTCTGCTCAAACCATTGCTTTTACTAAGCAGAATTAGCTACTGGTTTTTTCTTCTTCATTTTTTTTGCAGTTTTTAAATAATTTTATTTTAATGCCATGCAAGCATCACTTTTATCGTGTAACCATCAATTTTCTTAGAAATTGTCCGCGACTACTAAAACCTTTTGAGACTATGAATTTTTAATCGCGGATTTTGTATTGGCGCGATTGAAAACCTGATAATAGTAGCCTACCATGCCAAAAGCGTGTCGGAAGAGCCCTGCTTGGTCAGTCTGCTTGGTCAGTCTTTTAATCCAACGGTCTAGGTTTTGAGTCCTTTGTGGGGGGAAGAATGCAGTGAAACGAAAGTTGTCAAGTTTTGTTTGAAGCATAATTGTTTTTGTAAAAAAGGTTAAAAAAAATCTAAATAGTCGAGCTCGAACGCGATTATGAGCATGGAAGCTATGAAAAACCAGAAATTTGCCTTGTTTGTCACAAAGGGACGAAATAATTACTGGAAATTTGTTTTGAACTCGCCAAGTCAGTAGAGAGTTGGGCTTTAACCCAACAATCAAGGGTTTGAGTCCGTTGTGAGTAAGATTTTAAAATAATTTTTTCAATTTTCCTTCGAAAATTTTTTTGTAAAAATTGAAGAAAAAAATACTATCTAAATAAGTCTAGCTCGAAAGCGTTCCTGAGTAAAATTTATAAGCTCGGGAATGAAGTAGAGACCTGCTAGCTCAGTCGGTAGAGCGTTGGACTTTTAATCCAACGGTCAAGGGTTTGAGTCCCTTGTGGGTGAAGTTTTCAAAAATGCTTCTTCCATTTTTATTTGAACTAGAATTTTAGAATTGTGTTTTGCAAAAAGGGAAACAAACACAATCCAATTAAGTCTTGCTCGAAAGCGATTTTGAGCTTGGAAGCTATTAAAAACCAGAAATTTGCCTTGTTTGTCACAAAAAAAATTCTGAAAAGTTGTTTTGAACTCGCCGATTCAGTAGAGAGTTGAGGTTTTAGTCCAACAATCAAGGGTTCGAGTCCGTTGTGAGTGAAGATTTAAAAAAAAAAGTTTTTAAATTTTGTCGAAAGTTTTTTTTTGTAAAAACTGAAAAAAAACACAATCTTAGTAAGAAGTCTAGCTCGAAAGCGTTTTTGAGTTTAAATTCTATCAGCTCGTGAATGAAGCAGAGCCCTGCTAGCTCAGTCGGTAGAGCGTTGGACTTTTAATCCAACGGTCAAGGCTTCGAGTACCTTGTGGGGCGATGATTGCAGAATTTCTTTTTCAAATTTTATTTGAACTAGAACTGTAGAATAAATTTTTGTAAAAAGGGAATTAAACACAATCTAATTAAGTCTAGCTCGAAAGCGATTTTGAGCTTGGAAGCTATGAAAAACCAGAAATTTGCCTTCTTTGTCACAGAAAAAAAAACAAAATAAATTCTGGTAAGTTGTTTTGAGCCTGCCGAGTCAGTAGAGAGTTGGGCTTTTAATCCAACAATCAAGGGTTCGAGTCCGTTGTGGGTGAAGATTTTGAAATATATTTTTTTTATTTTTTGTTTGAAATTTCTTTTTTTGTTAAAATTGAAAAAAAAGCACAATCTAAATAAGTCTAGCTCGAAAGCGTTCCTGAGTAAAATTTATAAGCTCGGGAATGAAGTGGAGACCTGCTAGCTCAGTCGAAAGAGCGTTGGACTTTTAATCCAACGGTCAGGGGTTTGAGTCCCTTATGGGCGAAGTTTTCAAAAGTGCTTCTTCCATTTTTATTTGAACTAGAATTTTAGAATTGTGTTTTGCAAAAAGGGAAACAAACACAATCCAATTAAGTCTTGCTCGAAAGCGATTTTGAGCTTGGAAGCTATTAAAAACCAGAAATTTGCCTTGTTTGTCACAAAAAAAATTCTGAAAAGTTGTTTTGAACTCGCCGATTCAGTAGAGAGTTGAGGTTTTAGTCCAACAATCAACGGTCCGAGTCCGTTGTGAGTGAAGATTTTAAAAAAAGATTTTAAATTTTGTCGAAAGTTTTTTTGTAAACACTGAAAAAAAACACAATCTTAATAAGAAGTCTAGCTCGAAAGCGTTTTTGAGTTTAAATTCTATAAGCTCGTGAATGAAGCAGAGCCCTGCTAGCTCAGTCGTTAGAGCGATGGACGTTTAATCCAACGGTCAAGGCTTCGAGTACCTTGTGGGGCGATGATTGCAGAATTTCTTTTTCAAATTTTATTTGAACTAGAACTATAGAATAAATTTTTGGAAAAGGGAATTAAACACAATCTAATTAAGTCTAGCTCGAAGCGATTTTGAGCTTGGAAGCTATGAAAAACCAGAAATTTGCCTTGTTTGTCACAGAAAAAAAAATTCTGGGAAGTTGTTTTGAGCCTGCCGAGTCAGTAGAGAGTTGGGCTTTTAATCCAACAATCAAGGGTTCGAGTCCGTTGTGAGTGAAGATTTTGAAATAAATTTTTTTAATTTTTCGTTTGAAATTTCATTTTTTGTTAAAATTGAAAAAAAAAGCACAATCGAAATAAGTCTAGCTCGAAAGCGTTCCTGAGTAAAATTTATAAGCTCGGGAATGAAGTAGAGACCTGCTAGCTCAGTCGAAAGAGCGTTGGACTTTTAATCCAACGGTCAAGGGTTTGAGTCCCTTATGGGCGAAGTTTTCAAAAGTGCTTCTTCCATTTTTATTTGAACTAGAATTTTAGAATTGTGTTTTGCAAAAAGGGAAACAAACACAATCCAATTAAGTCTTGCTCGAAAGCGATTTTGAGCTTGGAAGCTATTAAAAACCAGAAATTTGCCTTGTTTGTCACAAAAAAAATTCTGAAAAGTTGTTTTGAACTCGCCGATTCAGTAGAGAGTTGAGGTTTTAGTCCAACAATCAAGGGTTCGAGTCCGTTGTGAGTGAAGATTTTTAAAAAAGTTTTTAAATTTTGTCGAATTTTTTTTTTGTAAGAACTGAAAAAAAAACACAATCTTAATAAGAAGTCTAGCTCGAAAGCGTTTTTGAGTTTAAATTCTATAAGCTCGTGAATGAAGCAGAGCCCTGCTAGCTCAGTCGGTAGAGCGATGGACTTTTAATCCAACGGTCAAGGCTTCGAGTACCTTGTGGGGGCGATGATTGCAGAATTTCTTTTTCAAATTTTATTTGAACTAGATCTTTAGAATAAATTTTTGTAAAAGGGAATTAAACACAATCTAATTAAGTCTAGCTCGAAAGCGATTTTGAGCTTGGAAGCTATGAAAAACCAGAAACTTGCCTTATTTGTCACAGAAAAAAAAATAAATTCTGGGAAGTTGTTTTGAGCCTGCCGAGTCAGTAGAGAGTTGGGCTTTTAATCCAACAATCAAGGGTTCGAGTCTGTTGTGGGTGAAGATTTTGAAATACATTTTTTTAATTTTTTGTTTGAAAATGCATTTTTTGTTAAAATTGAAAAAAAGCACAATCTAAATAAGTCTAGCTCGAAAGCGTTCCTGAGTAAAATTTATAAGCTCGGGAATGAAGTAGAGACCTGCTAGCTCAGTCAGAAGAGCGTTGGACTTTTAATCCAACGGTCAAGGGTTTGAGTCCCTTATGGGCGAAGTTTTCAAAAGTGCTTCTTCCATTTTTATTTGAACTAGAATTTTAGAATTGTGTTTTGCAAAAAGGGAAACAAACACAATCCA